GTGTTTGTAAAGAAAATAAGCCCTTCACTTTTTCCTCTTTGTTTCTTAAACAACAATAAACAAATGTCATGATACAAACGTCACTATACTTTTAGTTGTATACTAAATAGATAACTTCCCGTTCATAATTTCTCAAAAACAGAAATCTTTCCATCGCTGGAATTGTTTGGGTGCCAGATTTTGTGAGTGAACTAACCTGCATGTGTAGACAACAGAAGCTCCTTTTGAAGTGAAGGTTTGACAGACTATCATGACTGGTCTTGTTTATGTTACACTACAAAGTAACACATGACAAATGGAATGACAACCACATAATACCCATCACCCGGTCCACAGAGGACAACATACATGAAAACAAATTCTGTGCTAATTCTAGGATTAGGCCAATACATTCCCGACAAATATCAGTCTACTATTTCTCCAGCCCCCATATGAATGTGAGCGGTTACATTTCTCCAGCCCCCACGTGAATGTGAGCGGTTACATTTTTCCAGCCCCCATGTGAATGTGAGTGGTTACATTTCTCCAGCACCCAAGTGAATGTGAGTGGTTACATTACTCCAGCCTCCATGTGAATGTGAGTGGTTACATTTCTCCAGCCCCCATGTGAATGTGAGTGGTTACATTTCTCCAGCCCCCATGTGAATGTGAGTGGTTACATTTCTCCAGCCCCCATGTGAATGTGAGTGGTTACATTTCTCCAGCCCCCATATGAATGCGAGTGGTTACATTTCTCCAGCCCCCATATGAATGCGAGTGGTTACATTTCACCAGCCCCCATATGAATGCGAGTGGTTACATTTCTCCAGCCCCCATATGAATGCGAGTGGTTACATTTCTCCAGCCCCCATATGAATGCGAGTGGTTACATTTCCCCAGCCCCCATATGAATGTGAGTGGTTACAGTTCTCCAGCCCCCATGTGAATGTGAGTGGTTACATTTCTCCAGCCCCCATGTGAATGTGAATGGTTACATTTCTCCAGCCCCCATGTGAATGTGAATGGTTACATTTCTCCAGCCCCCATGTGAATGTGAGTGGTTACATTTCACCAGCCCCCATGTGAATGTGAGTGGTTACATTTCTCCAGCCCACATCCTTCCAGCATATTGCCAGAATGGGGCGGGGTGGGGTCACTGTTTGTTACTGATGATTTCCCCTCTAAACGAGAAGACGGATGATGAGCTGTATTAGCTGGGTGGTGAATCAATATCTCGGTCCCGGCGGCCTGGGGTAATGTCGTAATCAGAATGGGTCCTGTTTCGTCATAGAATAACACACAGACAGCCATGCGTAACCCCAAAAACAGCGTGTTCGCTGCCCCGTAGTGTCCAGAAAAAGGAGGGAGGAGATGTCATGAGTAATGTCACAGCAGGGTTTGAACTGGGGTTGAGGTGGAGACTTGGGAGGAAGAGTCTGGATCGGAGGGGCGGGGTCAGTGTGAGGTCATGAGAACGCTGGGATGTTTGCACAGAGGGTTGGCAGGGAGACATGAGACAAAATACACAGGGGCACTTGTGTGGACATTAGATACACGCATGCACGCAAACACACACACACACACACACAAACACACACACACACATATAGAAACAGGATAAAACACAGCCACTGCAAACCAGCTGGCACAAACGAACATACATCCACTGAAGCAACAGACAGCACTCTCAGCTCAACCCGGGAACGCGTCTCAGACAAAAAGGGAATCCTACGAGCCAAAAGGGACATGTGTTCATGACAAACACACCCACGCCAGCGCAGCCTCGAAAACACACAGGCCCCAGAGCCACACCGCGAGTTAGGGTGTGGCCACCCAGGGGAGGACGGGGCAACCCGGGGAGTCGTTGAATGTGATCTGGTTCTGCGGACCGGACAATAGGGCCCATTGTTCCCCTACGGCCAGAGCCTCGGCATCAGCATAATGCCCTTTAGAGCCCCCCGTCCGTCCGTCCGCCCAACACACAGCTCAGACAATCTCTCAGGAAGTGCTGGGAGTGAGACACAGACTGTCCACACGGATGTGAGGCTGTCTGTCTAACGGCGGCGGGTTTGGGTGCCCGGATCAAAGACGCTAGACGCCGACGGGGTCTAAAGAGGATGGCGGAAGTTAAGAAACGCGTCTCGGATTAGACGTTAAAGCCTTTTTCTCTGTTTTCAGCTCGTTTGCTGAGAGTGTTGAGAACGTTAGCCCCAGGTCCCTGTTCTCAAACGAGACCAAATTATTTGAGAGTGTGGACCAGCGAGGCTGCCACATCTCTTGGTGTGTGTGTGTGTATGTGTGTAAGTGTGTGTGTGTGTGTGTGTAAGTGTGTGTGTGTGTGTGTGTGTAAGCGTGTGTTCAGTTGAACGCTTCAGCCAGTGTGGGTCTGCCTACATGGCCGCGGGGCTTTGGCTTGCTGAGAAAAGCTTAGATATGTGCATAACTGTCCCGTTACGTCATGCCGCAGCTTAGGGGAAGGGATCCGCACGCGTTCCACCGACGGTCTCGCTCTACTGCTCGTGTCTGAGTTCTAAATGACAAATCACTGTTCAGTCGAAACATCTGATATTAGAAATGTACCACCGGATTCACTGTTACATCTGCACGCCCAGCAGCATGCTGGTTCCCCTGTTCCGCAGTCACAAACTTCCCTGTGCCCCTCTGTTCTGGTTCCCCTATGACCTTTAGGAGGAAGTGTGATGTCATTTTGGTTCGGATTAATATTGGGCTGTTTTGTGTGTGCCGTGGACAAAAGGTGTGCTTGAGGAAGCTACCGAATGATTCCGAGAACTGGTTTTAGTCCACTGGGATTCTCCTGTGTGTCATAGGATACACCCTGCAGCATTGTACCAGTTTAAAAACTCGTCCCAGATCAGTTGGGTGCACAACATAGAAACCCTTTGACAAACTAATGGGCCACATTCCAATGTGACAGTGCACTTTGTGGAGACAGTTCAATAAAACAGAGGCCACAAGTGTTTTTGAGATGAGGACCTAGAGCAGAGCAATCTAGTTTATAGTTGCAAATGTCTAATGTTACATTGCGGTTTTGTTCATTGTCCTAAAAACACACAGCTACAGTGTAATACAGTATTGAAAGCAGCGACACAATGGAAGAACTTCACCGGCTTACTTGTATGGAGTCATTCGCCATCGCAGTCCTCTCCTAAGCGGCTTTAGATGGTCGTGTTTCTTCTATCGTTTAGACTCGACTGGCCGGACACATGGACTCGTCCGACTCGTCACAAAGTATCGCCTGTCTCGTCGAATCCAGGCTAGACTGTCAATTCATTCGGTCGCCGAGCATATATGTGCCCTATACACAAAAAGCAACCACTGTATTCTCGGAGACGGGTGAACTTTCAACAACAACGGTCAGAGATAATCCGCATTGTTGTGTGGCCTCGACCCGCCACTACCCGAAGCGGGTCACCCAAAAAATGTCCGTCTAGTTTTTCCCGACTATGCTTCGCTCCCAAAAATATCTCTGGGTTTGAGTAAAAATATTTGCATACTGCTACTAGGATTAAGCAAAACTACTAAATTCAGTTCATTGTTATTTGTTTCTTTGGAGGCTCGTTATCAGCTGCTAGAGCACATGCACGGGCACCAGTCGGCGTGACTCGGTCCGGATAACCGCAGCAGATCCCGAGGAGGGATACAGATCCATCGCAAATCCAGCGAAACGGTCCAACAAGTCCGGTCTTCTTTCGTAGTAACATCCGTATAACATGGACACGCGTCCGTCAGCCGGTCTCACAACCATACATCTCTCTTTCAATGCGCTCTGACCGAGACTATGTAGTGTTTTTTCTCCGGTACGCCGTACAAAAATGCCGACAAATGTCACGGGTGAAAGCTTCGACGCCTGCTTTTCCTTCGGTTTTGGTGGACATCGGGGCTATTATCGCCTGGTCTCAGTATGCATTACGGATGGTGGCTCGAGCTGTGGGGAAGGTGGCACTTTTTTTTCTGATGGAGCTGCGCGGGAGCGCGCCCAGTGTATCATGTGACCAGGTCCAGATCATGGATTTGTAATTTCCAGCTTCTCCTCACCAACTGTTGATAATCTGTTTTTCCACAATCTGGTCTGAATTAATGCCTTAGTATTGCCTAGTGGACACGACAAACTGTTATTGCAGCCATGCTTTCTCCATAACTATATATCCCCATAAGGTAATCAACCCAACAACACGTATATTATTAACTGCAGAATGCAACAGTCTTTCTGTGATGTTTAATATAATCGTAATAAGAAGTATCATACATTATTCTTTTTTGTGGCAATTATGAATACGACACATTTTGTTTAATCAAAATGTCCCATATCAACATTAACTTGTTTTAACGTGAGGAATAGTATGGTGGATTTTTTGTAGTAGAAGTAGTGTGGAGATTTCTCTCATGTAGAAGTCACAGTGTAACTGCCACAGGTGAACAATTATTTTCAGTTCCTTTTTCTGTTGTGGCAGGTGTCATTTTATGAGTGCAGCTTTGATCAGCAAGAGAGGAACCAGCAGCCACAATATCTGAACATGTGGTACAGAGGATCACGTCCAGGTCTTATTCATGAGAGAAAAGCTTCCCAACTGAAAAAGTAAAACAAGAAGGAAATACATTTTCTTTATTCAGATAACCATGCTTACATTACAATATTGTGTATTTTTTCACCGCTTTGTTAAAAAGTAGATTGCGTATGAATTACACTATTTATTGCCATTGATTGTAGAAGGGGCAATGACGAGCCAAAGTGGGACCCCAAAAATCTACTATGTCATGTGAAGTCCCTGTCCCTGTCTGATTTTCTGTATATTATGTAAAACTAAAGAATGGCCATGTAAAATTCCAAACTCAAACTCAATCAAAATGTTGGCGCAGAATACAAATGTCACTGAGTAAAAGCAGTCCTGATTGGACAAGTCAAGGTTCCTCTCTGACACAGCGACAGACAGATTTTTACAATTTTTAATATAACCAGGTAGAGTGATTGAGAACAAATTCTCATTTGCAACGTCGACCTGGGGAGAAGCTCGGGATTGAACCCAGGACATTATGCACAAAGCATGCACTCTATCACTGAGACACACCAACTCCTCCAATCATAATGACATCAGTAACTACCAGAAGCATTCAGTTGAAGTTATTGCTGCTAAACTGGTGTAACTAGTTGTTCAGTTGAAGTGGCCCGCTATGGTTTGACTGAGGACCACTAGAATTTGCATTACCTTCTTTAATGAATGATTAAAATATGGTTCGACATCCATACCAGTGTGATAACAAAACTAAATGTGTAACCATCCAGATGGGGTGGGATGGGCAAGAACCCCAAAATGGCTGAACAAAGACCCTGGGTTGGGAGGTGGCGTTTGAGAATTACCTGAAGGTAGGGAGGAGAGCTGCAGTACTCCAGATGTGAGATGATAAGTACCTGGACAAGTATCTGTGCTGCTTTCTCAGGGAGGTGATATCATACAAATGTTTAAGAGTGTGAGCTTGAAGCAGCAGGTCACTGCCTTGATGTTAGCAGAGAACAACAGCGTATCGTCGAGGGTCACTCCAATGTTCTTGCACTTTGGAAAGAGGACACTATGCATTTATCACTTGTCAGCCATGACTGACATGTCATGGAGCAGAGAAGGCCTTGCCACAAAAGAAGAGCAGCTCAGTCAGTCAAGGGTTAGGTCGGTTGTAATTTCAGCTGCTTTAAAAAAAGTGCTGATTGAATGCTATCCGGATTCCCCAATGTAATAGTTTGATGAGCAGTTGACAAGTTCAATAACAGTATGCTAGCCGTGGAATCCTGTACATAACATGACACATGACCGTCTGCAGGCGAGGAATTAAACCCTCTGGTTTATGGCTATACTCTTAAACACTATTTAAAATGCAGGTTGCATTGTTATGAAGGAGGCACACAGACAACCACGTGCTCAATAATAATAAAAGTAAACTTCAACTGTCCACTCTTGAGCTGTAAATGTCATTAATTAAATATATTATACCACAACTTTCAAATTGGATATGACTGTAATAAAATAAAAAAGATTTTATGTAAAATTGTAATAGCTGTAACCTACTACGAATGTATTTCCCATGCCAAGTAAGGTCTTTTCAGTATGACTGCAATTCAATATTTTTGTGTGTTTTGATCAGCTGATAGATTTGGGAATGACGTCATGCATGATTATGTCACCTACAACATCTAAAAAAAAATATTTTTCACAATGATTTACAATGTAATGTAACGCAAGTCACGAATTTAGTAGAGCTTTGTCGAATTTCCAAAAAAAAATATTATTGTTTTTAATTCAACCAAAGCCTCTGAAATATGTAAACAACCGAAACAGAGAGAATACTGGGAGACAGGAAAGTCCATAGACTGACTGCACGGACATGACTGATCTCACCTGCATTATAATAAAGTGGCGTCGCATTGTGTAGCATAATGAAGATATACCCTATTCCTGGATAAATTGTCACTACTTTTTATGTAAAAAATCTATATCTTAAGTTGTCAGCTAATTGGATTGCTTTCTTGTAAAAAAAAATAAAAAGCTAATTTGGATCTGTCAATATAGGCCTAGGTAACCGTAGCTAGGTGACAGTTCGTACTCACCAGAAAAGCAGACCACAGGAAGAAAGCATGGAGCCGATGCAAACGAATAATAATCTTCTACCATTACCAGACATTGCTGGTGAGTTACGGTCTAAATGCATAGCTAGCAAACTGGATAATTTAATTAAACTTTCCGAAAAATCTTAACTGGTCGAACTCTGGTTAAAAGACGATTTCCCGCAATTTCTCAGGTAATTCTGATCCTGAAAAGTATAATAGTGCTTTGGCGTCCCTATGTGGCGAAGAGAAGAACTGCAACGGTTCAACCGCTTTATGCCTGGATATCAACATGATGGATCAGAAGCTCAAACCAATTGAACAGCAACTCCAATACCTGCTGAATAAAGCGGATGAGTTTCAGGCGCACCTTTCACACAGGTAACGGTCGTTAGAAAATGTGATTTTAATAGGTTAATAGGTGGGTTAGGAGGTTAAATTAACATTGCAGCAAAATGGAAGAACTTCTAGAGGGGAATCAAGTTAAGTTGTCATTATTTAGTACAAATAAAATACAGTGTAATGAATCTTCTCTATATTTGTCCCATCCACATTAAACAAAACTCTCTTTTTAGATGAAGGGTTATGTCTGGGCTGAAATTAAAATTAGAGCAAGTTAGAATTAGGGTTTGGAGAGTGCATAGATGTGGTAACACTCCATGAACATATTTGGCTTCATGCTGGAGACCACAGTTTAGTACCCATCTTTACCCTTCACCACTGTGTCTCTCTTTTCCGGTCTCCCTAACCAGGCTGTGAGGGGACAAAATAAATATGTAAGCAGGGCATGTGTCCACTTTCCTTTTGGACGAACAAAGACGTTGGTTAGTTGTAGTGCTAAGGTTCCTGATTAGACCAAATGGGAATAATATTTGGGTTCCACACAGGGAAAGTGAAACAACTGGTAAAAATGTTTGGGTTCCACACATATAGTGTGATAGTGAAACGTAAAGTGCTGTGATTTGTCTGCAGGCGCGACAACCTCCAGAAGGAAGACTTTGCCCAAGTGGTACATGCTTTCCTGCGGACCTGTCAGCCCTACTTCTCCTACCTGGAGGACACCGCTCGCACCTCCCTTCCCCAGCGCTCCCTCCTGCCCACGCACATCTGCACCCGTGTACGAAAGAAGCCCCCAGACACACGGTCATGACTTACATTTAGTCATTGAGTCACTTGAAAACAGATTTCTCCCTGTCTGATTTTCTGCCATGTGTGGTCCACAATATCCTTGTATATAATATTAGGTTGAAGAGACCATGGACTGAACCAATACAAACATGTTGCACACATTTTATTTAATAATTAAACATATACAGTCTCCCATTGAATTGTCCCCTATACTCAATAATGTGTTACGCCACCTTCAGCATCAATAACCACAATCAAAACACTTTCTGTAGTTACTGACTTAGCGTCAGTGATATGTGGGTTTTTAAGCATGAACTGTTTGTTTCAGGTCCCGCCATGACATGTCAATGAGGTTTAGGTCTGGAATTTGACTCAGCCATTTCAGAACTTAGATGTTCATGTTCCTAGCACAATTCCAATTCCAGAAACTTAGACAGGGAAATGCATTCACAACTCTCCCACTGTATTACGAATCACAGGGTCTCTCAAAAAGAATGAGACAGAAAACTTAGTGATTCTCCATGTGTGTCTGTGTGTGTGTCTGTGTGTATGTAGCTGCTATTTTTCTCCCAGCAGCTGTGTGCAAGGCTGGAGAAGCTACTCCATCAGTATGCATCCTTTGACTTCATATCTCTGGAGGAGGTGGAGTCATTCAGGTACAGTTATGCCCAAGGTCATAAGCACCCCTAAACACAGGCTCTGGGGCTTGGAGGAAGACATCACATTCCAACAGTATTCTTCACACTGTCTCTGCTGATAAGTACCTCCCAACGGCAGACACGGTTATGTCCAGTTTTTCCAGATGACTTGTTGGTTCATTGTCTTTTTCTGTCCATTCCAGCATCTCCCACTTCTTCATAGGCGAGTGTTGGATGGACAGTGTGAGGCTGTCCATATTCCGCTACAGTCGCCCAGCGCCGTACCTGGCCGGGTTTGACACTGGGCTGTACAAACGCATGCGCTGGAATGTGGAGAGGCCCAGACAGAGGCCAGCAGAGGAGAGGGAGAATGAGGTGCAGGGACAGGAACATGAGATAGTGGAAGTGAAGGAGAGACACATCGACACAGAGTAGTGAGTGAGAGAGAGCCTGAGAGAGGGGGATCTAGATAATGGGTTGAACAAATGTATCATGTCAGGAAACCTTCTGCTGTAGTTCATCGTTACTCGCAAGAACACTCTGGGTAACAGTGTATATTTTGACAATCTGGCCTAAAAGCAGTAAGTCAAACGGCGTCTCTCGCCTGTTTGTGTTCCTGTGTGCGTTCGTGTCTGTGTTCGCCGTGCAGTTACTTCCTGTGCTACCAGGATGTTCCTGAGCAGCCTGTCGACAGGGACTGCGGAGATAATGAAGAGGAGACATTTGCTACAGGCAAAGTGGTCAGGATGTGGTCCATCGGTCAGTGGGTACAAACACACCCTGACCCGGAGGCAGAAGACCTCTTAATCTGGTACACAGTTACATGTGGATAGCTACACGTTACATTAGTGGTCTACAGATACTAAGGGCAAATTGGAGCAGAATTTTTACTTTCAGTCTGCCCTGATTTTACGGTAGAGTTAGTTGTTCAAAGCTCAGTTGAAGAAAAACAGGGTCTTTCCATGGATGACAAGTACAGAAAATAGGGGAGGGGAGTATTGAAATGTATGCACTCAAAAGTATTTAGTAGGAAAACATTGTTCTAATATGCACAGCACCAACTATACCAGTCAAAAGTTTGCACACTGATTCATTCAAGGGGATTTCTTATCTTATATGGTGAATAATGGTGAATACAACCGAACTATGAACTTACAGTTATAGAATCTGGTAGCAACGAAAATAGTGTAAAAAAAAATCGAAATACATTCTATATTGTAGAGTCTTCAGATTGACCAGTCTCATGAAAGCTTTGCACACTCTTTGCGATTTCTCAATCGGCTTCACCTGGAAGGCATTTCAATGAACACGTCTGGCTTGTAAAAAGGGAATTTGTAGAATGTATTTCCTTAATAAGTGAGTCAATACGTTGTGTTGTAATTAGGTAGGATGGGTATACAGAAGACATTCACTATGTCTGCACTGATGTATAATGACATGAACAACTCAAATAAGCAGAGAGAAATGATTGTCCATCATTACTTTAAGACATGAAAGTCTGTCATCTCTGGACATTTCAAGTATGCCATATTTTGGAAGTTTCTTCAATTGTATCTTTGTTTGATGAGTCAAAATTTAAGGGGCATTTGCAGATGTAAACGTACTGTGTAACTAGCTAATCCCTACCAGTGTCTGGCACCTTAAACATACTGGGTAACTAGCTAATCCCTACCAGTGTCTGGCACCTTAAACATACTGTGTAACTAGCTAAT